CAGAAGGCATGCTACACCTGTCCTAACAGCAGGCATGCTACACCTGTCCTAACAGCAGGCATGCTACACTTGTCCTAACAGCAGGCATGCTACACCTGTCCTAACGGCAGGCATGCTACACCTGTCCTAACAGCAGGCATGCTACACCTGTCCTAACAGCAAGCATGCTACACCTGTCCTAACAGCAGGCATTATATACCTGTCCTAACGGCAGGCATGCTACACCTGTCCTAACAGCAGGCATGCTACACCTGTCCTAAAGGCAGGCATTCTACACCCGTCCTAACAGCAGGCATTCTACACCTGTCCTAACAGCAGGCATGCTACACCTGTCCTAACAGCAAGCATGCTACACCTGTCCTAACAGCAGGCATGCTACACCTGTCCTAACGGCAGGCATGCTACACCTGTCCTAACAGCAAGCATGCTACACCTGTCCTAACAGCAAGCACCCTACACCTGTCCTAACAGCAAGCATGCTACACCTGTCCTAACAGCAAGCACCCTACACCTGTCCTAACAGCAGGCATGCTACACCTGTCCTAACAGCAGGCATGCTACACCTGTCCTAACAGCAGGCATGCTACACCTGTCCTAACAGCAGGCATGCTACACCTGTCCTAACAGCAAGCATGCTACACCTGTCCTAACGGCAGGCATGCTACACCTGTCCTAACAGCAGGCATGCTACACCTGTCCTAACAGCAGGCATGCTACACCTGTCCTAACAGCAGGCATGCTACACCTGTCCTAACAGCAGGCATGCTACACCTGTCCTAACAGCAGGCATGCTACACCTGTCCTAACAGCAGGCATGCTACACCTGTCCTAACAGCAGGCATGCTACACCTGTCCTAACAGCAGGCATGCTACACCTATCCTAACAGCAGGCATGCTACACCTGTCCTAACGGCAGGCATGCTACACCTGTCCTAACAGCAGGCATGCTACACTTGTCCTAACAGCAGGCATGCTACACCTGTCCTAACAGCAGGCATGCTACACCTGTCCTAACAGCAGGCATGCTACACCTGTCCTAACAGCAGGCATGCTACACCTGTCCTAACGGCAGGCATGCTACACCTGTCCTAACAGCAGGCATGCTACACCTGTCCTAACAGCAAGCATGCTACACCTGTCCTAACAGCAGGCATGCTACACCTGTCCTAACAGCAGGCATGCTACACCTGTCCTAACAGCAGGCATACTACACCTGTCCTAACAGCAGGCATGCTACACCTGTCCTAACGGCAGGCATGCTACACCTGTCCTAACAGCAGGCATGCTACACCTGTCCTAACAGCAGGCATGCTACACCTGTCCTAACAGCAGGCATGCTACACCTGTCCTAACAGCAGGCATGCTACACCTGTCCTAACAACAGGCATGCTACACTTGTCCTAACAGCAGGCATGCTACACCTGTCCTAACGGCAGGCATGCTACACCTGTCCTAACAGCAGGCATGCTACACCTGTTCTAACAGCAAGCATGCTACACCTGTCCTAACAGCAGGCATGCTACACCTGTCCTAACGGCAGGCATGCTACACCTGTCCTAACAGCAGGCATGCTAACACCTGTCCTAACGGCAGGCATGCTACACCCCGTCCTAACAGCAGGCATTCTACACCTGTCCTAACAGCAGGCATGCTACACCTGTCCTAACAGCAAGCATGCTACACCTGTCCTAACAGCAGGCATGCTACACCTGTCCTAACGGCAGGCATGCTACACCTGTCCTAACAGCAAGCATGCTACACCTGTCCTAACGGCAGGCATGCTACACCTGTCCTAACAGCAGGCATGCTACACCTGTCCTAACAGCAGGCATGCTACACCTGTCCTAACAGCAGGCATGCTACACCTGTCCTAACAGCAGGAATGCTACACCTGTCCTAACAGCAGGCATGCTACACCTGTCCTGACAGCAGGCATGCTACACCTGTCCTAACAGAAGGCATGCTACACCTGTCCTAACAGCAGGCATGCTACACCTGTCCTAACAGCAGGCATGCTACACCTGTCCTAACAGCAGGCATGCTACACCTGTCCTAACAGCAGGCATGCTACACCTGTCCTAACAGCAGGCATGCTACACCTGTCCTAACAGCAGGCATGCTACACCTGTCCTAACAGCAGGCATGCTACACCTGTCCTAACAGCAGGCATGCTACACCTGTCCTAACAGCAGCATGCTACACCTGTCCTAACAGCAGGCATGCTACACCTGTCCTAACGGCAGGCATGCTACACCTGTCCTAACAGCAGGCATGCTACACCTGTCCTAACAGCAGGCATGCTACACCTGTCCTAACAGCAGGCATGCTACACCTGTCCTAACAGCAGGCATGCTACAACCTGTCCTAACGGCAGGCATGCTACAACCTGTCCTAACAGCAGGCATGCTACACCTGTCCTAACAGCAAGCATGCTACACCTGTCCTAACAGCAGGCATGCTACACCTGTCCTAAAAAGCAGGCATGCTACACCTGTCCTAACAGCAGGCATGCTACACCTGTCCTAACAGCAGGCATGCTACACCTGTCCTAACGGCAGGCATGCTACACCTGTCCTAACAGCAGGCATGCTACACCTGTCCTAACAGCAGGCATGCTACACCTGTCCTAACAGCAGGCATGCTACACCTGTCCTAACAGCAGGCATGCTACTCCTGTCCTAACAGCAGGCATGCTACACTTGTCCTAACAGCAGGCATGCTACACCTGTCCTAACGGCAGGCATGCTACACCTGTCCTAACAGCAGGCATGCTACACCTGTCCTAACAGCAAGCATGCTACACCTGTCCTAACAGCAGGCATGCTACACCTGTCCTAACGGCAGGCATGCTACACCTGTCCTAACAGCAGGCATGCTACACCTGTCCTAACAGCAGGCATGCTACACCTGTCCTAACAGCAGGCATGCTACACCTGTCCTAACAGCAGGCATGCTACACCTGTCCTAACAGCAGGCATGCTACACCTGTCCTAACAGCAGGCATGCTACACCTGTCCTAACGGCAGGCATGCTACACCCGTCCTAACAGCAGGCATTCTACACCTGTCCTAACAGCAGGCATGCTACACCTGTCCTAACAGCAAGCATGCTACACCTGTCCTAACAGCAGGCATGCTACACCTCTCCTAACGGCAGGCATGCTACACCTGTCCTAACAGCAACCATGCTACACCTGTCCTAACGGCTGGCATGCTACACCTGTCCTAACAGCAGGCATGCTACACCTGTCCTAACAGCAGGCATGCTACACCTGTCCTAACAGCAGGCATGCTACACCTGTCCTAACAGCAGGCATGCTACACCTGTCCTAACAGCAGGCATGCTACACCTGTCCTAACAGCAGGCATGCTACACCTGTCCTAACAGCAGGCATGCTACACCTGTCCTAACAGAAGGCATGCTATACCTGTCCTAACAGCAGGCATGCTACACCTGTCCTAACAGCAGGCATGCTACACCTGTCCTAACAGCAGGCATGCTACACCTGTCCTAACAGCAGGCATGCTACACCTGTCCTAACAGAAGGCATGCTACACCTGTCCTAACAGCAGGCATGCTACACCTGTCCTAACAGCAGGCATGCTACACCTGTCCTAACAGCAGGCATGCTACACCTGTCCTAACAGCAGGCATGCTACACCTGTCCTAACAGCAGGCATGCTACACCTGTCCTAACAGCAGGCATGCTACACCTGTCCTAACAGCAGACATGCTACACCTGTCCTAACAGCAGGCATGCTACACCTGTCCTAACAGCAGACATGCTACACCTGTCCTAACAGCAGGCATGCTACACCTGTCCTAACAGCAGACATGCTACACCTGTCCTAACAGCAGGCATGCTAACACCTGTCCTAACAGCAGGCATGCTACACCTGTCCTAACAGCAGGCATGCTACACCTGTCCTAACAGCAGACATGCTACACCTGTCCTAACAGCAGGCATGCTACACCTGTCCTAACAGCAGACATGCTACACCTGTCCTAACAGCAGGCATGCTACACCTGTCCTAACAGCAGACATGCTACACCTGTCCTAACAGCAGGCATGCTACACCTGTCCTAACAGCAGGCATGCTACACCTGTCCTAACAGCAGGCATGCTACACCTGTCCTAACAGCAGACATGCTACACCTGTCCTAACAGCAGGCATGCTACACCTGTCCTAACAGCAGACATGCTACACCTGTTCTAACAGCAGGCATGCTACACCTGTCCTAACAGCAGACATGCTACACCTGTCCTAACAGCAGGCATGCTACACCTGTCCTAACAGCAGGCATGCTACACCTGTCCTAACAGCAGGCATGCTACACCTGTCCTAACAGCAGGCATGCTACACCTGTCCTAACAGCAAGCATGCTACACCTGTCCTAACAGCAGGCATGCTACACCTCTCCTAACGGCAGGCATGCTACACCTGTCCTAACAGCAACCATGTTACACCTGTCCTAACGGCTGGCATGCTACACCTGTCCTAACAGCAGGCATGCTACACCTGTCCTAACAGCAGGCATGCTACACCTGTCCTAACAGCAGGCATGCTACACCTGTCCTAACAGCAGGCATGCTACACCTGTCCTAGACTGCAATAGTTGGCGGAGGGAGAATTATATCAGCTGATGTGTGAAAACAAGTTTTGAAAAAAAAATACATTTTAATGCATCTGATCTCAAATATCTGCACTCATACCACCTGCATCACTAATACCACCTACCATTAATACCACCTACCATTAATATCACCTATTACTACTACTACTACTACTACTGCACCACTAACACCACCACCTACTACTACTGCACCACTAACACCACCACCTACTACTACTGCACCACTAACACCACCACCTACTACTACTGCACCACTAACACCACCACCTACTACTACTGCACCACTAACACCACCACCTACTACTACTGCACCACTAACACCACCACGTACTACTACTGCACCACTAATACCACCTATGTTTCAGGGTGTCCACCGCCACGATGCAGGTGGAGAAGCTCGTCTCCAAGTCTTCTAGCAGGTGAGTTTCCTGACTTTTCAACCACATTCTCTATCACCCTACAACCTTGTTTTATTCTGACCACGTCTCGTTCAGGGTAGAGCTTTATCTAGCTTTATCAAGGCTTTATAAAGCACTACCATGAGCGAAACGTTTTCCCACAAAATGTTTGTTCCATATATTGTCTTCATTCCCACACCTGTGAACATTAACCTTGTACACCCGATGTTCCTATATAATCATTGTTACTATACATTTAATGTAAAGTTACCATAGAGTGTACATAAATGTAGTACAGAATTAGTATTGAGTTACTATAGTTAGGGGAAGGTATCTCCCGCATCCCATATTCCCAGCCCAATCTACATCAACACACGCAAAAGGAATAGTGCAGAGTGTGGCACAAGTTTCTAACACAAATATCAGCAGTGAAGATTTGAAACTCATCAGATAAAGCATTCAAAAGTTCTCATGGAAACTAATAAACTAGTTCCTATGCATCTTGTGTATCCATATGCTCTTGCGCTAAGGTATATGGTGCGCAGAGTAAATTAGCCACTTCGCTGGCAAAATCTAAATCAATTTCTTCAGTAAAAATGGTTAACTGGGGCGTACGTAGCCCATGGACAACGGCAACAACAAAAAAAAAAGCAAATCCGAACTATCCACTAAGATACGCCAGTTTTGAAAGTTTGAAGTCGATCAGAAGAGGCATTCGCTAGTTACTGCACTGAAGCCACTATCCTCATTTGCTCAATAAAATTGACAAAATAGGACTTGCACAGCCCAATAACTAAGTAAGCTCTGCTCTAACAGAGTTTTAAGTTTGGTTTATTTTTCGTGAAATAAATTGAATATTACTGATTTAAACTGCTTGAGTCTGTAACATCTGATACAGCTTATGAAAAGGATGATTCTTCTCTTAAGATTAAGCTCAGTGGTGCACATTTTGTCAGCTTATTAACATAATTTAAATGTTGGTTTCGGTGGCTTCAAGCGTGTGTTCATTGACGGGTTCTGAACAAGGGAAGGTTCACAGTGTTGTTGATGGTGGGTTCTGAACAAGGGAAGGTTCACAGTGTTGTTGATGGTGGGTTCTGAACAAGGGAAGGTTCAGTGTTGTTGATGGTGGGTTCTGAACAAGGGAAGGTGCACAGTGTTGTTGATGGTGGGTTCTGAACAAGGGAAGGTTCACAGTGTTGTTGATGGTGGGTTCTGAACAAGGGAAGGTTCAGTGTTGTTGATGGTGGGTTCTGAACAAGGGAAGGTTCACAGTGTTGTTGATGGTGGGTTCTGAACAAGGGAAGGTGCACAGTGTTGTTGATGGTGGGTTCTGAACAAGGGAAGGTTCACAGTGTTGTTGATGGTGGGTTCTGAACAAGGGAAGGTTCAGTGTTGTTGATGGTGGGTTCTGAACAAGGGAAGGTTCACAGTGTTGTGATGGTGGGTTCTGAACAAGGGAAGGTGCACAGTGTTGTTGATGGTGGGTTCTGAACAAGGGAAGGTGCACAGTGTTGTTGATGGTGGGTTCTGAACAAGGGAAGGTTCACAGTGTTGTTGATGGTGGGTTCTGAACAAGGGAAGGTTCAGTGTTGTTGATGGTGGGTTCTGAACAAGGGAAGGTTCACAGTGTTGTTGATGGTGGGTTCTGAACAAGGGAAGGTGCACAGTGTTGTTGATGGTGGGTTCTGAACAAGGGAAGGTTCACAGTGTTGTTGATGGTGGGTTCTGAACAAGGGAAGGTTCAGTGTTGTTGATGGTGGGTTCTGAACAAGGGAAGGTGCACAGTGTTCTTGATGGTGGGTTCTGAACAAGGGAAGGTTCAGTGTTGTTGATGGTGGGTTCTGAACAAGGGAAGGTGCACAGTGTTCTTGATGGTGGGTTCTGAACAAGGGAAGGTTCACAGTGTTGTTGATGGTGGGTTCTGAACAAGGGAAGGTGCACAGTGTTCTTGATGGTGGGTTCTGAACAAGGGAAGGTTCACAGTGTTGTTGATGGTGGGTTCTGAACAAGGGAAGGTTCACAGTGTTGTTGATGGTGGGTTCTGAACAAGGGAAGGTTCAGTGTTGTTGATGGTGGGTTCTGAACAAGGGAAGGTGCACAGTGTTGTTGATGGTGGGTTCTGAACAAGGGAAGGTGCACAGTGTTCCTGATGGTGGGTTCTGAACAAGGGAAGGTTCAGTGTTGTTGATGGTGGGTTCTGAACAAGGGAAGGTTCACAGTGTTGTTGATGGTGGGTTCTGAACAAGGGAAGGTTCAGTGTTGTTGATGGTGGGTTCTGAACAAGGGAAGGTTCAGTGTTGTTGATGGTGGGTTCTGAACAAGGGAAGGTTCACAGTGTTGTTGATGGTGGGTTCTGAACAAGGGAAGGTTCAGTGTTGTTGATGGTGGGTTCTGAACAAGGGAAGGTGCACAGTGTTGTTGATGGTGGGTTCTGAACAAGGGAAGGTGCACAGTGTTCTTGATGGTGGGTTCTGAACAAGGGAAGGTTCAGTGTTGTTGATGGTGGGTTCTGAACAAGGGAAGGTTCACAGTGTTGTTGATGGTGGGTTCTGAACAAGGGAAGGTTCAGTGTTGTTGATGGTGGGTTCTGAACAAGGGAAGGTGCACAGTGTTCTTGATGGTGGGTTCTGAACAAGGGAAGGTGCACAGTGTTGTTGATGGTGGGTTCTGAACAAGGGAAGGTGCACAGTGTTCTTGATGGTGGGTTCTGAACAAGGGAAGGTTCACAGTGTTGTTGATGGTGGGTTCTGAACAAGGGAAGGTGCACAGTGTTCTTGATGGTGGGTTCTGAACAAGGGAAGGTGCACAGTGTTGTTGATGGTGGGTTCTGAACAAGGGAAGGTTCACAGTGTTGTTGATGGTGGGTTCTGAACAAGGGAAGGTTCACAGTGTTGTTGATGGTGGGTTCTGAACAAGGGAAGGTTCACAGTGTTGTTGATGGTGGGTTCTGAACAAGGGAAGGTTCACAGTGTTGTTGATGGTGGGTTCTGAACAAGGGAAGGTGCACAGTGTTGTTGATGGTGGGTTCTGAACAAGGGAAGGTTCACAGTGTTGTTGATGATGGGTTCTGAACAAGGGAAGGTTCACAGTGTTGTTGATGATGGGTTCTGAACAAGGGAAGGTTCACAGTGTTCTTGATGGTGGGTTCTGAACAAGGGAAGGTTCACAGTGTTCTTGATGGTGGGTTCTGAACAAGGGAAGGTTCACAGTGTTGTTGATGGTGGGTTCTGAACAAGGGAAGGTTCACAGTGTTCTTGATGGTGGGTTATGAACACGCGAAGGTTCACAGTGTTGTTGGGCTGTATTAGGTTGAATTTAATATTAATTGATATGAGGCCTGGTCATGGACCGGTCCGCGGGGGCGTTGACCCCGCCGGAACACCCTCCAGGTATACTTCAGAGCACTTCTGGTCGTCTGCAAAATCTGTAAGTTGGTGTTTATCAATTAGGCATCTTGGGGGGGGGGATGATTTTGGGGCTGTGTAAGAACCAGTTTGGTTTAGAAAGACACGTGATCTATCATAAGGGCATATTAGAAACGTTTCGGTCCTGGGATCTTGATCACTTCTAACAAACAGAGGTTAAAAAGACAGTATGTATAGGCTGAGAGTGAGGTGTGAGTGACACCTGGTGACATGAAGAATGACATACTGGGATGAGGACACTTAGACAATGTCTACCATGTATCACTCACACCTCTCCGCCTATATATATTATTATTATTATCACACTGGCCGATTCCCACCAAGGCAGGGTGGCCCGAAAAAGAAAAACTTTCACCATCATTCACTCCATCACTGTCTTGCCAGAAGGGTGCTTTACACTACAGTTTTTAAACTGCAACATTAACACCCCTCCTTCAGAGTGCAGGCACTGTACTTCCCATCTCCAGGACTCAAGTCCGGCCTGCCGGTTTCCCTGAACCCCTTCATAAATGTTACTTTGCTCACATTCCAACAGCACGTCAAGTATTAAAAACCATTTATCTCCATTCACTCCTATCAAACACGCTCACGCATGCCTGCTCTAAGTCCAAGCCCCTCGCACACAAAACCTCCTTTACCCCCTCCCTCCAACCTTTCCTAGGCCGACCCCTACCCCGCCTTCCTTCCACTACAGACTGATACACTCTTGAAGTCACTCTGTTTCGCTCCATTCTTTCTACATGTCCGAACCACCTCAACAATCCTTCCTCAGCCCTCTGGACAACAGTTTTGGTAATCCCGCACCTCCTCCTAACTTCCAAACTACGAATTCTCTGCATTATATTCACACCACGCATTGCCCTCAGACATGACATCTCCACTGCCTCCAGCCTTCTCCTCGCTGCAACATTCATCACCCATGCTTCACACCCATATAAGAGCGTTGGTAAAACTATACTCTCATACATTCCCCTCTTTGCCTCCAAGGACAAAGTTCTTTGTCTCCACAGACTCCTAAGTGCACCACTCACCCTTTTTCCCTCATCAGTTCTATGATTCATCTCATCTTTCATAGACCCATCCGCTGACACGTCCACTCCCAAATATCTGAATACATTCACCTCCATACTCTCTCCCTCCAATCTGATATCCAATCTTTCATCATCTAATCTTTTTGTTATCCTCATTACCTTACTCTTTCCTGTATTCACCTTTAATTTTCTTCTTTTGCACACCCTACCAAATTCATCCACCAATCTCTGCAACTTCTCTTCAGAATCTCCCAAGAGCACAGTGTCATCAACAAAGAGCAACTGTGACAACTCCCACTTTGTGTGTGATTCTTTATCTTTTAACTCCACTCCTCTTGTCAAGACCCTCGCATTTACTTCTCTTACAACCCCATCTATAAATATGTTAAACAACCACGGTGACATCACACATCCTTGTCTAAGGCCTACTTTTACTGGGAAATAATTTCCCTCTTTCCTACATACTCTAACTTGAGCCTCACTATCCTCGTAAAAACTCTTCACTGCTTTCAGTAACCTACCTCCTACACCATACACTTGCAACATCTGCCACATTGCCCCC